AAATTTTTTTATTATATTGAAAAGTGGAGTTTGCCTTTGTTTGAATTTTTTATTGTATTGAAAAGTGGAGTATGTTGTCATGTTCTATCATCTCATAAATATGAGTCAGAATCAGAAATCTATGGATATATCCATTTCATTTTAGGGCAAAACAGATTTCTATAATTAATTTTGTTCTCTTGTCTTTTTCTATTTCCCATTTATCTATTTTCTTTAGTTCCTTATTAGAGCAATTCTTGACTTTTTGAGAATGAGAATAAAATCTCTACAAGGTTGATATTATTCCCATGTTCGCATTGGCGGATCTAGCAAATAGAATAAGGAGGACATGGTTATTTAATAAAAAAATATAAAATATTATAATGAAAAGTGCAAATACAAAGACATAACGAATTTTAATGTCCTGATATCGCTCAATAATAATATCATTATCAATTTTCAAGTAAGTTTCTTTTTCCACACAAACTTGTAGTCTATCTGTTGATACCTAATTTGGCTCAATTAAATATCTGATAAGTAAAATAATAAAATACGGCCAGATAATCAATGAGCCGACAATACGAAATAAATCAGTATACAAACAGGTTCTCGATACCGATTAAATCAGAAACCGCCTCAGATCGACGTCAATCGAAGCCGTCATAAGTCATAAGCGGGCCCACGATGATTATCCCATATTAAATAATAATACCGTTTTTTATTTATTCTATTAGCCACTTGCAAAATAGAGGAGGTATATATATCAAAAGAGAAGAGAGAGGAGGGGTCTTCTTCCATTCTTCATTTTTCCCCTCCCACACAACACAAACAGAGAGAGAGTAGGGGTGGTTGGATGAGACTCTCTCCAAAAAATAAGAAACAAAACATCATTTTTAATAGTTTTGTTCTTGATTTTTCATAAAAGGAATTCGTATTATATTTGACGGTTGATCGTCCGATTTTCGACATCAACAGTTTGGCGCTAGAAGGAGGGCTCCGTAATTTGTTCGGAGTCGACTTTCGCCGGAAAACGGCTACATTTTCACCGAAAAATACTCCCTCAAAGCTCGGTATGAATATCCATTTTTTTTACCCTAATCTGTCACCATTTCTGATTTTATTTTGGAGGCACAAAAAAAATCATAAATCCAAGATGTTCAAGAATCCTTAATCCTTCCTTTTGTTCCTCTTTTCCATGAATTCTCAGTATACTGTAACCTAAAATTCCCCTTGAATCTTGAAACAAGAAAGGCTTGAAACAAGAAAGAACCTGATCCTATCTCTCTTCTTTTTTATCTTAAATTTGGTTGAGCTTCTCTGCAAATCTCAAATTTGGTTGAGCTTCTCTGCAAATTCAAGCTCGGTTACTATTCATCTTCCCTTTTCTTTTTTGCTTCTTTGCTGAATAAAAAATGGGCCACTTGCTTGGACATGATTAAACCACGTTCATTTTACTATTCCGCCATCACATCATGTCACATACATAATAATGAATGATAACAATTAATAGAAAACAGTCGAGGGCAACCTCGCGACCTGCCAACCTCCGTCCAACAGCCGAGCAACGTGACCCAGCCTCATGTCTGCTCGGCCCCCCCAAAGTTATACCCGTCAGACCCCGAGGTGACACGGCCACAATTCGAACATCAAACCGGCCGACGCCGAGCTTGTC